GGGGAGGAGGGGGAGGAGGGGGAGGAGGGGAAATAAGAAAAAGTGGAGAGGAGGAAAGGAAAACGCTAGAAGGATGGGGGCCAGGGGCGTGGGGATGGCTGTACAAGGGGCTAGACGGGGTAACTGGGGCTTCTGCCAGAATTTATATTTGTTGTGGTTGGGAGGTCCCCTAGGGTGGGCCTTACTGAGCCTTACTGTTATCGTTAGCGCGTTACAGGGTGGGTGGCTTCTGGGCCACCATTTTGCATATTAACTGCCATGCAAAGCTGCGTGCTGTGCAATGCAATGGATCTGTTATTACGGCACAGCTATTATGAAACATGAACGCAGTGGCGACGTGTGTGGGGTGGCGTGACAAATGCGAAGCTGTCAGCACTTCATGCAGCATATTTGCAACTCCCCGCACCACGCGCTCCAAACCCTAACCCTGCCCTAAACAAAACCGCGCTAAACAGGACATTATCGATAATCGTCTGGACAAGCGGCGCAAGGGCATCTTCGGTCCGCCCGTCGGCATGCGCTGCGTCATCTTTGTGGACGACGTCAACATGCCGGCGCTGGAGGTGTACGGCGCCCAACCGCCAGTGGAGCTTCTGCGTCAGTTCCTCGATCACAGCGGTTGGTACGACCGTACGGACAACACGTGGCGGCAGTTGGTGGACATTCAATTGGTGTGCGCTATGGGGCCCCCCGGCGGTGGCCGCAACCCCGTCACCCCTCGCTTCCTGCGTCATTTCAACCTGGTCGCCATCACGGAGTTCGATGACGCCACATACACGCGCATCTACGGGGCCATCTGCGACTGGTGGTTCCGACGTGCCCGCATTCCGGAGGTGCGCTGCATGTGTGTGTGTGGGGGGGGTTGGTGTCGCAGGGGGGAAGGCTGCATGTGTGTGTGTGTGTGGGGGGGGGTGTATGCGTGGGGGGGGGTCCGGTTTGGAGGCTTTCGGATTGAGGGGTTTGGGTTGCGGCGTTTGGGGATGAGGCAGGAGGAAAGCAGCTCTGCAAGGGAGAGGTGTTTGGGAGGCGGGATCCGATCCCCCCACTTGGAATCTCCGGTGAGTATTCTGCTGTCTGCTGCCCTTGGTGCTGCCACCCAGTATTTTCCTCTTTGGGCGATGGGGGGGCCCTGGTAGGTAAAGACGCGTGGGTACTCTACTCTTCTGCGTATCGCCTCTGTTGGTGATGACGATGATGATAATGATGGTGCTTTCTGGCTGCAGCTTTTTTCGCTTTCGCTTTCGCTTTCGCTGACCGTTCCTCCCTTCCCTCCCTCCGTCCCACCCGCAGGAGGTTCGCGCCAAGGGCAATGCGCTGGTGAAGGCCACCTTGGAGATCTACAACACCATCCGGGCCCAGCTGCTGCCCACCCCCGACAAGAGCCACTACACCTACAACATGAGGGACCTGTCCAAGGTGTTCCAGGGAGTGCAGGTACGTCTGTACGTCTGTACGTGCCTGTTCCGGCCACCACAGTCGCAGCTGCGATTGCGGTCCTTCTCAGCCTCCCTCCCTCCCCCCTGGACCCATGCATCGCAGGAAAGACCCTTCTTCCTGCCATCAGACTTTGTGTTTTTGCCTTTAGTAACGCCCGCTCCAACCCCCTTAACTACTCCTCCCACTGCAACTGAACCTACTCGGGCCCCCTCAGTCCATCGGTGTTCCGGTTCCTGACGCCCGCGCCCTGACACGCCTTTGGGCTCACGAGACCCTCCGGGTGTTTCACGACCGCCTGGTGTCAGATGAGGACAGAAACTGGTAAGTGCGGCGTGGTGTATGTGTGTACGGGGGTTGGGTGGGGGGGGGAGGAGGCTGGAGCGGTGCGGCGGCTGGATGGCTGGGAGCCGCTCGAATGTAGAGTGGAAGAGTTGTTAAAACTGAGCTGCGAAGAAAGATGGGGTGGTTGGGGTGTTTGGGGAAAGAGGAGCACCGGCAGTGAAAAGGAAGGTCAGGAATTCGGAGAGCGACAGTGGAGCGCGCTTTTCCCTTCCGTTTCAACTTGCCACTGAAGACGCTGCCCCGCAATCCGGACCTTTCCCGACATATCATGTCCCTCTTGTGTGTTTAGTCGTCCTCCTTTACTCTGGTCACTAATCCCCCTCCTCCCATTCCTCATTTCCCCTCCTCCGCCTCCTCCCTTCCTCCTCCTCCCCCAGGTACTGCTCCCTGTTGAAGGACATGGTGAACAAGCTGTTGGGCCTCAAGTTCGACAATGTGTTTGAGCCGCCCGCCGGCAGCGGTCTGGCCAAGGGCGACGTAGCTATCCTGCGCAACCTGCTCTACTGCGACTTCCAGGTACCGGGCGCAGACCCAGCCAAGTACGATGAGGTCACCGACCTGCCCAAGCTGCTGTCAGTGGTGCAGGTAAGGGGGAAGCCGGGGCCTGGGGAGAGTCCGGGGGGGAGGGCGAGGTGGGGCGGAGAGGACGGCGTGTGGGGTTGGGGTCTGGCTGTGGTGATGGTGGTGGTGGTGGTGAATAGTGCGGGCCGTGATGAGATACTTGGTGGGGTAGGGGGTAGACCCGGTGTACGACAGGGTCTGTACCGAAAAATAATTGCAGTGGAGGGGCAGGGGAGTAGTGGGTGTTGGAGTTTGTGTTAGGCCCCAAACCAGCGGAGAAGGTCCCCATACGGGACAGCGTTGCTTGAGATTTCCTACCCCACCTCGCCAAGCCCTGCTTCCTCCCACCGACCCTTACATACGCTCATCATGGCCCCCTTTCCCCTCCTCCTTCGCCCCCCTACCCCCCAACAACCCCCCACACAACACACACGCACCCGCTCTCAGGACTACCTCGCGGACTACAACGCCCAGTCCAAGTCCCGTATGGATCTGGTGCTGTTCCTGTTCGCCGCGGAGCACATCTGCCGCATCAGCCGCATCATCAAGCAGCCCTACGGCAACGCCCTGTTGGTGGGTGTGGGCGGCAGCGGCCGCCAGTCGCTCACTCGCATTGCCACCTTCATGGCCGACTACAAGCTCTTCACCATTGAGATCTCCAAGTCCTACACGGTGGTGGAATGGCGGGACGACCTGAAGCGCGTGTTGCGGCAGGCGGGGGGCGCCGCGCAGCCCACCGTGTTCCTGTTCAGCGACACGCAGCTGAAGGACGAGTCGTTCCTGGAGGACATCAACAACATCCTGAATACCGGGGAGGTGCCCAATTTGTTCCCCAAGGTGGGAGTGGGAGTGGGGAAGGTGCATGATGCAAAATTTGTACAATTATCAAACTGCGTGTGTGTATGTGTGTGCCGACACACGTCGCAAGAGCACCACCAACTGCCGCGGGGATCCAGAGCGATATCCATGCAACCGGTTGTAGAAGGGGGTTGGGGATCGGGATGGGGAGGTGGTGTCGGGGAGGGAGAGTGTTGGGATCCTGGGGGGGGAGAGGTATGTACGGGGTGTATGGTGGGTAAAGGGACCGTATGGTGGCGACCGCATGCGGGGACCTGGGGCCAGAGGAGCTGTTAAGGGGCCAGGGTGGGGGTGGACGCAACACATGCATTTGCCAGGGTCTCGGATGCGGACCTAGGTCCGGTGGGGCAGTGGGCGAGGGGCGGAGAGGGAAGGGACGGGGTAGTAGTGGAGCGATGAGGCGGGCTGGCCAGGTTGGCAAGGAGGGTTAGAAGAAGAGAACAGCAATGGGAAAGGAACAAGGTACAAGTGGCGTGGGGGGATGGGGTGGTGTTGGGGGAGCTGTTCTCAGCTTCATGCGTCCTGGTGCCCTTCCCCGCTCCTCCCCAAAGCCGCTCTACCCTACCCTACCCCGTCCTACCCAACCCTACCCTGCACCCCGGCCCCCCTCTCCCGTCCCCCTTCAGGACGAGCTGGTGACCATCATGGAGCAGGTGACCCCCCGGGCCAAGCGGGCCGGCAAGCCGCTCACCCCCGCCTCCCTGTACGCCTTCTTCGTGGACGCCTGCCGCGCCAACCTGCACCTGGTCCTGGCCATGAGCCCCGTGGGCGGGGCCTTCAGAGAGCGGCTCAGGAAGTTCCCCTCGCTCGTCAACTGCACCACCATTGACTGGTTCTCAGTGTGGCCGAGTGACGCGCTCAAGAGCGTGGCGTCAAAGTACGTGTGTATGTGTATGTGTCGGGGGGAGAGTGGGGAACTGGGGGAGGGGGAGGGGAAGGGGGGGGGAAAGAGGGGCTAACAGACACCGACAGAGGAAGAGGGGCTGGATAACGGCGGGCGAGGGTTTCGGAGCAGTCCGTCAGTCTGTCAGTATGTTTGTTTTCGGCGCGCGCCGCCTTTCCGTCTCCCTCATTCCCTTCCTAGCCCAAACCCCCCAAGCCCCACAATCCCCACCACCACCACCACCACCACCCCAACCCCCCCCCCACACACATACGCAGTTCCCTCATCGCGGCTCAGATCATAAGAACACACAGTTCCAACACCATGAACATGTAAAGACCGAAACCCCCCACCCCCCACCTTCGGCCCTCCCGTTTCCCCCCGATACCAACACACCCACACCCACACCCACACACGCGCACCCCTCCCTCTAAGGTTCCTGAACTCCGTGGAGATGGACAGCGCGGAGACCCGTGCCGCTGTGGAGGACATGTGTATGGAGTTCCACCTGACAGTACGGCACCTGGCCGAGGAGTTCAAGGCCGATTTGGGCCGCCACTACTACACCACCCCCACCTCCTACCTGGAGCTCATTCAGACGTACAAGGAGCTGCTGTCGGCCAAGAGAAAGCAGGTGACGCCAGGGAGGGGAGTGGGGAGGGGAGTGGG